GTCCTATTATGATGTCCCTTTCGATGACGTTTCGCAATTCGGCCCTCCCATCCCGAGCTCGTCCCGTCGGAACAGACACTGCCAGTACCACGGCCGATCGTTATTGTTCCCTTGCCGCCGACAACCGACTGTCCGTGTCTGATAGGATCCCCACCAGCGGCCTGGCACGCGGCGGGCACCAGGCTTCAACACCTTGCGAGCCGCCAATGAGGCCCTCGGCAAGGCGTCCACGCCACTTCCGTCCAGAGGGACGCTGTGCGCGAGGACAGCACGAGCCACGACACGCCTATCCGCGCCGTATTGGAAGGCTGGGACAGTGTGGAAACCGCCGGCTTGATGACGGACAGCTGGCGGAAACTAAGACTGGTCGATGAAATTTGCTTTATGAAGTGCGGCAAAATCGAACGGGTGGCCATCCTGCGCATGATGCACCTCATGATGACCTACCACGGAGATCCCACTCCCGGAAGACTGTCTTCCCTGCCTCGGTGGTTTTGGATGAGGTAAGTGTGCCCTCGAATGGGAGAAGCACCTCAGGAACGCGAACTGACGCGCCCACCCAGACCGTCACAAGCCTTGGCCCACTCATATGCCATTGACTATTTTGTTTGGTATGTAATCTGTTCTTCGCGTTTTGCCCAGAGCGTCTCTGACAAGGGGAACCACAGGCCTGGTGTCCGGGAGCGCTTCGTCTTCTCCCAGCACCGCTACTGTACCAACCTCTTCTGGCAGCTCTTCCAGAGCAACTTCAAAGTAAAATGGCAGTACGGTTTCCGCGACTGCTACATGCGAGATCGTCTCACTGGCAAGTTTTCGTTGTCGCCCATGTTCGAGCAGACCATAAGCAACATCAGAGCCTGGACCATGGATACCGACTTCTTCACCCACTTTCCCGAGCTCTGCCAAGACATCCCTAGGGTCGAGGGTCTGCCGATCGCGGTAGGGTCCGCGCGGAAGGATGCCCAGCAGGTCTGGGAAGAGACACAACACCATGCTGTCGTGCGGGCCGCTCGCCCCTTTGTCGGCCCTATGCTGGTATCCGACGGGTCAAATGACCAGGTGGATGGTGCAAGATTGTACGACGGAGCGCCTTCAACGTTTGCACTCCACACCAGGTGATCTTCAGGGTAGGTCAATGCGGGGAGGAGTCCGGCAGTGCGAGATCTGCCATCCGGAAATACCCCTCCGCCAGATCGCGAAACAATGCTTAATGCAGGACTTGTGGGTCTATGGAATGTATCGGTCTACGGAATGTCAGGGTCCCTTGGCTCGACCCCAAATCTATGGGCGACCCTTGTGCATTCCTCAACACAAATGGGATCGTCGGTCAAATCTAAGTTAAGCAGAGATCTGGCATTCCACACTGCGAGCAAACCCCTCTATGAAGAACCACACAGAGGTCCATGCATTTGCCTGTCGACCTCATCTACGGGACGACGCGCGAAACACCATGAGTGCGGGGTTCGTGATGGACCGGCCGAGAGACACGCCGATGAGGTGCTCACAATCCAGGGACCTAGACCACGATTCTCTTGGTTCAGACTGGACATATCAACGCCGTATGCGTCTGCAACAACACTTCTGTGAGCTATAAAGAAAGGTGGTTCTGGCCTCCATCTGCCGATAAACTACCCCATCACAATCTCTTTCCTCACTGCACCTCTCGCTTCGGATCACTCACTACCATCGTTTCAGACGACCATTCACTCTTTTCACCAAAGCACCTCAGATTCAACCATCCCACCATCAACATGAAGGCCTCCACCACCATCCTCGCCCTCAGCGCCCTTGTGGCCTCCACCTCGGCCAAGCCCATCAGCAGGATGATCAGCGTCAAGATGCCCGCCGGCGCCATGGCCAACAAGATGACATCCGACTCCATGGTGCGCCGCGAGGTTGAGATGGGTGCTGCCGCCACCACCCCCGCCGTCCCTGAGACCCCCGCTGGCGCCGCCCCCGCCCCTGAGGCTGTCCTTGAGTCTGCCAAGGTCAACGAGAACCCCAGCCCGGCCCAGAAGGAAGAGGCCAAGGTCGCTCTCGATAAGCTCGAGGAAGTCAAGGGCACCGTCAGCGATGCCAAGGGCAAGATCCACGCCGTCATGGAGATGGAGGGCGATGTCGATATGGACGCTCTCAAGACCATCGTCAATGATGTCAACATGAAGATTGTCGACATTGGCAGCATTGGCGGTATTCTGGGCGGTAACGCCGGTATCGACCCCATTTCTGCCGCCACTGGCCTCGCTACAGATGTCGTCAACGGCGTTGGCGGTCTCCTCTCCAACATCTTTGGTGGTGGCCGCCGCCGTGTCCCTACCAGTGCATCTGGCTCCATCGGCATCGACGGCCTGCTTGGCTCCGTCGATGGCCTTCTCGGCGGAGGCACTGGTCTCAATGGAGGACTCCGTGGCGCTGCCTCCGGCGCCGGTAGCGCTGCTGGAAACGTCGCCGGCGGTCTCGGTCTCGGTTTCGGCGGAAAGCCTCCCGGCCGCAACGGCGGTCTCATTGGGCTCGCCAACGGACTCACTGGAGGTATCACGGAGGGTATCCGCGGCATTGCCAACGACCTCACCGGCGGCCTGAGCGAGACCGCTCTCGATATCGCTGACGGCTTCACTGGTGGACTCATCCGGGGTAACGACCGCGGCCAGGCCGGTGCCTCGGGTTCTCTTACCGGAACCATCGGCGGCCTGCCCGGCGGTCTGACTGGTGGCCTGACTGGCAACCTGGGAGGTCTCACTGGCAGCATTGGCGGCAACATTGGCGGCGCTGCTGGACAGACCGGAAACTCGAGCGGCGGCGACAAGACTGGTTCTCAGCCCGGTAAGACTGGCTCTCAGCCCGGCAAGACTGGCTCTCAGCCGGGCCGCCCGCGCAAGGAGACCTTTAACCTCAGCGGTCTCGAGGGCTTTGATCTCGAGGCCCTTGGCTTCGGCGATGTCGATGTCAACAACCTCACTGAGGCTGAGCTGCGGGAGATCAACGAGGTCCTTGACCTCGGCATCGACGTCGATGCTCTCGTCGCCAGCATCCGCAACTAAGCGAAAAAGTAACTGCTTTCAAAAGGAGGTTGGGATTTGGCGTGTGTATGTTCACCAGATTGAGGTTTTTGTAAGCACAGCGGGGGACGCCCCAGAATACTGTTTGCTCCCATCTTTTAGGGTTTCATAAGGCTCGGGTTCTAGCGAAAACATTAGCAAAATATCATTACCTCTCTTTCTCACTGCATGACGCTGTACCATCCTTTGATTTCCCCCCCTATTTTGGCAGTCTACTCACTCACTTGCCTTTGTACTGACCACGTGGTGATTCAGGCAACTCTTAAAAAAACTACATTACTTCAGTCTAGGTCATCAATACTACATCAGGAAACAGGAACCCTTCCCAACGAAATGCAAGCCTAGTAGACGTGACGTTCCCAGCAAACAAAGCAAGGAAAAAATAAACATCCAATCATCACAGCACACAAAATAATTACTCAAACAGCACAGCCTCCGGCTCCCTCACGAGACTCTCGACAATGGCCCCGACCTCGGCCAGCAGCTCCTTCGCGTGCTCGGCCCACGACTCGAACGTGATGACCTCGATCGTCAGCTTGTCGCCCTCGGGGAAGGCCTGGATCTTCCACTCGCGC